ATTCTCAAGCTGGTCCTAGTGGCATTAAAAGACAGAGAAGGGAAGTAACCCCAGAGAGGGCTTTACCTGAAGTCCTCAACTCCCTCTCTCCTCCTCTCTATCTTCCAGATGCCATCACCAATCTTCAATAAAGGTAAGTAAAAATGTTCAATATACAAAAAGAGTTAGAAACAGAAATACAAATAGCTAGAGCTTCATTTAGGGTTATTAATATAATATTCAAGAGGTTGCTAGTAGAATTGCAGTAAATCAACCATTCAAATCATTATGAAGCTGTGTGTAGTCTGTGGTCAGTCAAACAAACGGGCTTCCACATGGATAAATTGTCATTTTTGTGGAAATTGGTGTCACGCTCCTTGTGCAGATATCCCAGAACTAGCTACAAGCAGTATTAAAACAGAGAAGTGTTTCTGGGTATGCCCAAATGAGGAAAATCTGTGGACTAAAATCACAAGGGTATTAAAAGAGGATAACATCAAAGCTGCTTTCATAGAAAACCTGGAAGCTTTCTACAACAGATGGGAACATAAAAAGTCTGGGCTGAATGGTACTGCCCTTGATACTGGCCATGTAGTCACAAACTGTAAGGCTGGAGGTGATGTCCCGGTAGTCAGTAAATGTGGGGCTGATAGTGCTGTCCTGGGAGACAGTAATGGTGAAGCGGGAGGTGCTGTCCTGGGAGACAGAAATGGTGAAGCTGGAGGTGCTGTCCTGGGAGACAGTAATGGTGAAGCTGGAGGTGCTGTCCTGGGAGAACAGAAATGGTGAAGCTGGAGATATGTCCTGGGAGACAGTAATGGTGAAGCTGGAGGTGCTGTCCTGGGAGACAGAAATGGGTGAAGCTGGAGATACTGTCCTGGGAGACAGTAATGGTGAAGCTGGAGATTTGTGTCCAGGTAGTCGGGAATTATACGCAGGAAGGAATACATATAAATGACCTCATAGGGGACAGGAGCCATAGTAGGGAAACAAGTGTAGTCAAAGATAAGATAAAACCAATATTGCAAACTAGAAATACCGCAGGAAATAGCAAACAAGAGGACTCCAATAGCAATAGTGAGGATAAATTACCAAAAACAACTGGTGGGAGCTCCATTGTTGGTGCTAGGGAGGATAGAAGTAAGACAGGGAAACATGCACCAACTAGGGAAATACAGTCACAGAAACCCAAGGCAAGCGGAAACCAAGCCTGTGCACATACTATGCACTTGGTATCTGCTGGCATGGGAAATCTGGAAAAACAGATGGGACGTGCAACTATGACCACCTAGAAAATGCCATGCCCATATGACAACAGGAAAATGCAAACTCCCTTCCTGTAAGCTTTTTCACCCTGAAATGTGTACCTCTTCAGTACAGGAAAGACTGTGCTATAACTTAAATTGCCAGGCATACCATCTAAAGGGGACAAAAAGATACAAACATCCAGGCCATGGGAAACCTGGTTAAGCCACAGCCACTCAAGAGGGAGAGGTTTTTTAGTGCCAGGAAGGAAAAAAAAACTGGCAGGAAATGGCAGAAATCGTACACCAAATCCAGTCATTCCTGGAGTGGAACCACAGTCGATGGCCTCCACTCCAAACCAACAGATACAGATACTAATGCCGGAAAAAAATCCTCCCCCAGTACCAACAATACCACCAGTCCGATAACATTCTTCTTTGCAAATATACAGGGTCTAAAGCCAGCAACAAACAACAAAATACCTTTCATCCGTGGACTGCTTGCAGAGGCAAAGGCAATGTTCGCAGCTTTCACTGAGACCCACATAAAGGATCACTTGGACAATGAAATATGGATCCCAGGTTACAACCCATACAGATGTGACAGAGTGAACAGGCAAAAGGGGGGGGTTGGCCTGTACATTGCAGAGTCACTTGTTTGCACAGAACTGCTTAATGCCTCAAATGACGTAGTGGAAGTTTTAGCAGTAAAGGTCGAGAACCAAAACCTAGTCATTGTGGTAGTCTACAAGCCTCCGGATGCAACATCCCAGCAATTCCAGGAACAGCTGTTAAAAATTGACCACTGTCTGGAAAATCTTCCAGCTCCTGCACCCAACATCTTGCTCCTGGGGGATTTCAACTTAAGGCACCTAAAATGGAGGAATATAGCAAATAATATTGTTGCAGTAATAACACCAGGAGGCAGCTCTGATGAAAACTCACACTCACACGAGCTTTTAAATCTCTGCACAAAATTCAATTTAAACCAGCAAATAATAGAGCCTACTAGACTGGAGAATACACTAGACCTCATATTCACTAACAATGATGATCTGATAAGAAATGTCACCATATCAAAAACAATATACTCAGATCACAACATAATTGAGGTTCAGACATGTATGCGAGGAGCCCCAGACCGACAAAATGAGACTAGTCACGAGGGAGCATTCACCAAATTCAACTTCAATAACAAAAACATAAAGTGGGACCAAGTAAACCAAGTCCTAACCGATATAAGCTGGGAAGATATACTAAGCAACACAGACCCAAACTTATGCCTAGAACAGATTAACTCGGTGGCACTCGATGTATGCACAAGGCTTATTCCTCTAAGAAAAAGGAGGAGTAGATGTAAAATAGAAAGAGACAGGCGCTCCCTTTACAGGCGACGGAAAAGAATAACAGAGCGGCTAAAAGAGGTCAATATATCTGAAATGCGCAGGGAGACACTGGTCAGAGAAATAGCAAGCATCGAACTTAAGCTAAAAGAATCCTTTAGGAGTCAGGAATCGCGGGAAGAACTAAAAGCTATAAATGAAATCGAAAGAAACCCAAAGTATTTCTTCTCCTATGCCAAATCAAAATCGAGAACAACGCCCAGTATTGGGCCCCTACTTAAACAAGATGGGTCCTACACAGATGACAGCAAGGAAATGAGTGAGCTACTCAAGTCCCAATATGACTCGTTTTTAGCAAGCCGCTAACCAGACTGAGAGTCGAAGATCAAAATGAATTTTTTATGAGAGAGCCACAAAATTTGATTAACACAAGCCTATCCGATGTTATCCTGACGCCAAATGACTTCGAACAGGCGATAAATGACATGCCCATGCACTCTGCCCCAGGGCCAGACTCATGGAACTCTGTGTTCATCAAGAACTGCAAGAAGCCCCTATCACGAGCCTTTTCCATCCTATGGAGAGGGAGCATGGACACGGGGGTCGTCCCTCAGTTACTAAAAACAACAGACATAGCCCCACTCCACAAAGGGGGCAGTAAAGCAACAGCAAAGAACTACAGACCAATAGCACTAACATCCCATATCATAAAAATCTTTGAAAGGGTCCTAAGAAGCAAGATCACCACCCATCTAGAAGCCCATCAGTTACACAACCCAGGGCAACATGGGTTTAGAACAGGTCGCTCCTGTCTGTCTCAACTACTGGATCACTACGACAAGGTCCTAAATGCACTAGAAGACAAAAAGAATGCAGATGTAATATATACAGACTTTGCAAAAGCTTCGACAAGTGTGACCATGGCGTAATAGCGCACAAAATGCGCGCTAAAGGAATAACAGGAAAAGTCGGTCGATGGATCTATAATTTCCTCACTAACAGAACACAGAGAGTAGTCGTCAACAGAGTAAAGTCCGAGGCAGCTACGGTGAAAAGCTCTGTTCCACAAGGCACAGTACTAGCTCCCATCTTGTTCCTCATCCTCATATCCGACATAGACAAGGATTGTCAGCCACAGCACCGTGTCTTCCTTTGCAGATGACACCCGAATCTGCATGACAGTGTCTTCCATTGCAGACACTGCAAGGCTCCAGGCGGACATCAACCAAATCTTTCAGTGGGCTGCAGAAAACAATATGAAGTTCAACGATGAGAAATTTCAATTACTCAGATATGGTAAACATGAGGAAATTAAATCTTCATCAGAGTACAAAACAAATTCTGGCCACAAAATAGAGCGAAACACCAACGTCAAAGACCTGGGAGTGATTATGTCGGAGGATCTCACCTTCAAGGACCATAACATTGTATCAATCCATCTGCTAGAAAAATGACAGGATGGATAATGAGAACCTTCAAAACTAGGGAGGCCAAGCCCATGATGACACTCTTCAGGTCACTTGTTCTATCTAGGCTGGAATATTGCTGCACTCTAACAGCACCTTTCAAGGCAGGTGAAATTGCCGACCTAGAAAATGTACAGAGAACTTTCACGGCGCGCATAACAGAGATAAAACACCTCAATTACTGGGAGCGCTTGAGTTTCTAAACCTGTATTCCCTGGAACGCAGGAGGGAGAGATACATGATTATATACACCTGGAAAATCCTAGAGGGACTAGTACCGAACTTGCACACGAAAATCACTCACTACAAAAGCAAAAGACTTGGCAGACGATGCACCATCCCCCCAATGAAAAGCAGGGGTGTCACTAGCACGTTAAGAGACCATACAATAAGTGTCAGGGCCCGAGACTGTTCAACTGCCTCCCAGCACACATAGGGGGATTACCAACAGACCCCTGGCAGTCTTCAAGCTGGCACTGGACAAGCACCTAAAGTCAGTTCCTGATCAGCCGGGCTGTGGCTCGTACGTTGGTTTGCGTGCAGCCAGCAGCAACAGCCTGGTTGATCAGGCGCTGATCCACCAGGAGGCCTGGTCACAGACCGGGCCGCGGGGGCATTGACCCCCGAAACTCTCTCCAGGTAAACTCCAGGTATATGTATTACTATACATAATTAAAAACTATAGTGTTTGTTGTATGTAAAACTGTAATTAATCTCTATAAAATGTATTTTTTGTGTGAATATTTTTGGGTTTCTGGAACGGATTAATTGTATTTCCATTATTTCTCTTATGGGAAATATTGCTTTGAATTTCAGACTTTTCGAATTTAGAACTAGCTCCTGGAACGGATTAAGTTCGATTTTTGAGGTTCCACTGTATCAGCATGTTAACTGTAATAATAAAAATAATAATTATTCATTGATAGGCATATATTTTACTTTTAATACTTAGTGTATATTATTGACAGCTTAAGCTCCCTCGATGTGGAGGTTCTGCAGCGACTGGACAAGATTGTCAATGTGGTGCCTGTGGTGGCCAAGGCTGACACACTCACACTTGAAGTAAGTCATCTTGCTGACACACTCACTTTCACTAACTTTTATTATGCTCTCTTATTCATTTAATTGTTATTCATATATATTCAAGTTTGCACATGAAGCTGCAGCTTGGGAACTTGGTGGATGGTGCAGTATTACTTTATTTCACTGATGACTGTATCTTGGGAAAATAAAGATGGTACAGTACTACTTATTTCCATCCCACCTTTGGCCACTGTGACCTCTCTCAAGCAAGACCTCAGGATGCTTGTTTGCTGTGTAAGCCAGTATATGTGCCTTTATTTAAATAATAATCCAGCCCTGAACCAAATGTTACAGCAGTAACAAAGGTTTTCCTATAACAAAGTCTTTTTTCCTTTCCATCTACCATACTGTAATGACAAAGAGTGTCACTTTACAGTTTAGGGATCTTTATAGTGTGACTGGTTTTCCTGAGTTCCCTAAAGGTGGGCCCAGAACTCTAAAACAATCACAGATTATTTAAATTTACTCTTATTGTCTTTCTTTCAGGAAAGAGCAGCATTCAAAGAAAGGATTCGCGCAGACTTATCTGATCATGCAATCAAGGTGTATCCTCTGCAGGAATATGAAGACTTGGACGATGCCCCAGAAAACATGAAAATTAGGGTAAGGCACATTGTAAATTGCCATAACAAGGAAATTATTTACAAAAACGACAATTTAAACAAAATTAAAAATTTTTTTAACGCACTGGCCATATTCCACTAAGGCAAGGTGACTCAAATATGAAGAAACACATTCACCACCATTTATTTAATCACTATCTTACCAGACACATACTGACATTACAGTTCAGATAGTCCTCCAAACTGCAACATCCTCACTCCTCCCGAGTGCAAGCATTGTACTGTACTTCCCACTTCCAGGACTCAAGTCCGGCTATCCAGTTTCTTGAATCTCTTTAAACAAATATTACCTTCCTCACACTCCAACAGTATGTCAGGTCACAAAAACCACTTGCCTCTACTCACTCCAGTCTAATGTGTTTACACGAGATTGTTGGATGCTCAAGTCTCTAGCATTCAAAGCCCTATTTACCCCCCTCCTACCAGCCTTCATGTTATGACCAACTGTCACTGCCTAAATACAGTATTATCAGTGTTTCATGAGTTGTAAGCAGTTCACAAAGTGATTGAGAAATTTTTCTCAAAGATGGAAAATTTTTTGATAGAGCACAAGATCAAACAATTAAAAATTCCAGGGGGTTAATAAAAAAAAAAAGACATAGCAAAAGATCTTTTATTATTATGATGTTTCATCTAGAAAAGGCTTTGTCAGGTACTGTAATAACATAAAACACTGATATACAATATATATAGTACTGAAAGCAAGGTAACATTTATGAAGGAATTCAAGGAAACCACCAAGCCAGACTTGAGTCCTGGAGGTGGGAAGTACAGTGGTACCCCGAGTTTCGTACAGCTCCCAACTTGAACAATTATGTAAGTGTATTATTGTAAGTACCGCTGTAAGTGTATTTTTGGGAGTCAGAAACAGACTAATCTAATTTACATTATTCCTTATGGGAACAAATTCGTTCGGTAACGGCACTTGAACAGCCTTCTGGAATGAATTATGGCTGAAACTCGGGGGCCCAAACTATTCAACATCCTACCAGAAGATATCAGAAACATGGCTGGAACAAGTGTAGAAACCTTCACCAGGTGCCAGATCAACCAGGCTGTGATGGATATCTGGGGCAGTGGGCCTCCAGCAGCAACAGCCTGGTTGACCAGGCAAGCACCAGATGAGCCTGGCCCATGGCCAGGCTCAGAGAGTAGATAAACTCTTGAAACTCTTCAAAGGTATATATCAAAGGTAAGGTACCACTGTACAGTGCCTGCACTCTGAAGAAGTGGTGGTGTTGAAGTTGGGAAGGCCATCTGAGCTGTAATATCAGCATGTTTCTGGCAAGACAACGATCGAATGAATGACAGTGTTTCCTCTTTTTCGGGTTACCTTACCTCAGTGGAAGATGGCTACTGTGCATAAAAAGAAAGTGCTTAACCCTTTCAGGGTCCGTCCCGTAGATCTACGGCTTCACATTCAGTGTCCAAACCATAGATCTATGCCAAAATTCTAGCGCCGTCAAATTTAGCGCGAAAACGCTCATAGGCCTACATGTGAGAGAACGGGTCTGCGTGGTGGATGTTCGCCATAAACAAAAAATCTAGGCGCTCGCATAGCATTGTGGGAGCGCCGGCTCAGTTACCCTTGTTCACCATGCCTCGTTGCAAGGCAGCTCTCACTCCAAGGAAAATTGGGACTCTCCTCTTCCTATCTGATAGTTCTGACACTGATGGAAGTGGAAATGAAGACGAATTCTTTGGCTTTGATCAGTTAGTGACTGAAAGGAATGACCAGGATATCGATAATAGTGCAGAAAACCCTGACGATCCTCAACCTTCTACCTCTGGTGTGGGCACTCCTCAGTCACGGTCAGTTGTACCTCAACGCAAGAGAAAACTATTATTTTTGCGTGGCCAGGCCTCTGACTTCAGTAATGATGATGAAAGTGACGTGGATTGTGATTTTATTGCTCTTGACGATCATTCGAGTAGTGATGGTGAGGAAACATATTCACCAGTGAAGTGTCGGTATGTACGCCATTGCATGCACTCGAGTAGTGTACCCTATGCAGTGCCCAGGGGACGGAGTACATCCCGGAGTACATCCCATGGCCCTACACCAGGAATAGACAGTGAAAGTGAGGATGATGTGGCTACACTTGGCATGGATAGACCACAGGCATCAGTAGATGGTGGTAGTAGTGATGGTAGTGCCACGGCCATGCGTGACTCACCAGCCCAGGCTGGGACCCACGCTGCTGACTCCACAGTTCAAGGACAAAGCGGAGCATCAGCCACCAGCCCACCACAACGTCAACTACCCACACAACCAGCCTATGATGTCCAGTATCCACCAGCAAACCATATCTGGGATTGGCAGCAAAATCCCAATTTTGTTCCCAAGCCTCACCACTTTGATGACTCAAAGTGGAATTCTACCAACTTGTTCCCTTGGAAACACAGCCAATGAACTGGAATTTTTTGAAATATTCTTTGATCAGCCCTTGATGGAAATTAATGTCAGGGAAAGTAACAAGTATTTTGAATACACCATGGCAAATACGATGATATCACCACAGTCAAGACTACACCGGTGGAAAGAGATGACTGTTGCAGAAATGTATTTGCTTTTTGCAACAATAATGCTTATGCCTCATGTCTATAAGCATAATATAAAAGCATACTGGTCCACAGATAGGCTAATTTCTACCCTGGTCTTCAGTGAAATCATCCCAGTGAACAGGTTTATCTTAAGAACATAAGAAAGAAGGAACACTGCAACAGGCCTACTGACCCATGCGGAGCAGGTCCATGTCCCCCCCCCCAGATTAGACCAATGACCCCCCTGGATTAGCCCAATGACCCACCCAGTCTGATCATCTCCACTCAAGGATGGGGCACTGCACCAGACCCAGCAGCACAAGCTAGTCAGGTCCAACTCACACCCACGCACACCCGAACAAAAGTTCAACATGTACTTTTATCCATTCAAGAATCTTGTAATTGACGAGTCTTTGATTTTGTTCAAAGGCAGGCTGTCATTCAAGCAGTATATACCGAGTATTACAAAAAAAGTGATTTTTAGATGGTAGTTTACTCATTTTGTAATAAAGAGTTCGGGATACATAAATACACGTTAAAATAAATGAATCTTTAATATAATATAAAAACAATCTTTGGTCTAGAGGTATTTTGTAAATAAACATCTGATAATATATACATGTTACAATAATAAATTATAATTAGCATTTAAAATAATAAATAATTCCCGACCCTACACACAGGGTACGACTTTCTCTGGCACTACTGTGTCACTATATATATCTATGCTAAAATAATAAATTATAAGTAACATATTTACAATAATAAATTAGTCAACTCTGTGTCTCATGACACCCTAATGACGCTCCGTGTCACACAACACTTATCCGTGTAATGATGCTCCATCTCAACCGTGTCCCTTGACATCTTTTTCTGTGTCACACAACACTCCAGCTCTCCGTGTCACATGACACCCTTTTCTCTGCGTAATGACGCTCCTACTTTCCGTGTCACATGACACCCATTTCTCTGCATCATACACTTTCTCAACTGTGTCACCCTTGACACCCTACGACACTCACACAGCATCTTTCTCGAGGCCAGTCACATGACACTATTCAATGCACACTACAACCTGATCATCTTCAGTGTCACACGACACCCTTTTCTTCTCAGTGTTCCACTATGGTCCTATAGCATATCTCAGTGTTACACTCCATCATACTTGCTTAAGTGTCACACTACGGTCCTAGCCCAGTTCAGTGTCACACTCCAACCTTTTCTTCACGTAGTGTCCCACTAAAACAGCATCCGATGACTCCGGCCCACAGTTGACCAGTGTAGGCAGTGAGTCCGCAGACATCACCTAGTAATCCTATAAATACTCTCTAAAGCCGGCAGAAGCACACCATAAGATGGTCTGGTGAGTACTATCTACCGCCTTCAAGACCAGTTGACACACCGCAAGGTGGTCCAGTTAATTACTAGCAGAACACCATGCTGCGAGCTCACTGAATGCGGCCGTCAAGTAACTGAGGCCAACAGACTCAGTGAGCTGTGGTGAGCGCTTCCTCTAACGCCAGTAGATATATATAATAAGATGGTCAGACGAATACTCTACTGCCAGTAGATGTCTACCGTAAGGTGTTCTGGTAGTTACTGCTTAGATGCGTACCGTGAGGTGTTCAGGTACTTAATGCTTCTAAAGCCGGCTCAGCAGTCCCCACATTGGGTTTGATGACGTGCCCTGTGGTACTGCCGGCTGGCAGGTTAACCATTAAACCGCTAGTTTGGTAGGGGGCCGCAACACTGAGCAAGAGGAAACGCTTTGGTATAAAACTGTTTGTACTCTGTGACTGTGACAGTGGCCTGGTATTGGATATTCAGTGGACCCCCGCATACCGTACGCATCGCATAACGTTCAATCCGCATACCGCTTGCTTTTATCGCAAAAATTTTGCCTCGCATACTGCTCAAAAACCCGCTCACCGCTCTTCGTCCGAGACGCGTCCAATGTACGCCCTTAGCCAGCCTCACATGTGCCGCCGGTGGCATTGTTTACCAGCCAGCCTCCGCGGTAACATCCAAGCATACAATCGGAACATTTCGTATTATTACAGTGTTTTTGGTGATTTTATCTGCAAAATAAGTGACCATGGGCCCCAAGAAAGCTTCTAGTGCCAACCCTACAGCAATAAGGGTGAGAATTACTATAGAGATGAAGAAAAAGATCATTGATAAGTATGAAAGTGGAGTGCGTGTCTCCGAGCTGGCCAGGTTGTATAATAAACCCCAATCAACCATCGCTACTATTGGTGGTACAGCTGCTGCTGCTGCTGTACCACCGTCAGCTGCTGCTGCTGCTGCTGCACTGTCAGCTGCTGCTGTACCACCATCAGCTGCTGCTGCTGCTGCTGCACTGTCAGCTGCTGCTGCTGCTGTACCACCGTCAGCTGCTGCTGTAGTACCGTCTGCTGCTGCTGTAGCATCGTCTGCTGCTGCTGTAGCACTGTCAGCTGCTGCTGTAGTACCGTCTGCTGCTGCTGTACCACCGTCAGCTGCTGCTGCTGCTGCACTGTCAGCTGCTGCTGCTGCTGTACCACCATCAGCTGCTGCTGTAGTACCATCTGCTGCTGCTGTAGCATCGTCTGCTGCTACTGTACCACCATCAGCTGCTGCTGTAGTACCGTCTGCTGCTGCTGTAGCATCGTCTGCTGCTGCTGTAGCACTGTCAGCTGCTGCTGTAGTACCGTCTGCTGCTGCTGTACCACCGTCAGCTGCTGCTGCTGCTGCTGCTGCACTGTCAGCTGCTGCTGCTGCTGTACCACTGTCAGCTGCTGCTGTAGTACCATCTGCTGCTGCTGTAACATCATCTGCTGCTGCTGTACCACCATCAGCTGCTGCTGTAGTACCGTCTGCTGCTGCTGTAGCATTGTCTGCTGCTGCTGTAGCACTGTCAGCTGCTGCTGCTGCTGCTGCTGCTGTAGCACCGTTGTTGGTGTGGCTTATTGAGAATACCAAGAAACAATTAACCCCAGAGGATTTGCCACCCAGGATAACCCAAAAAAGTCAGTGTCATCGAAGACTGTAACTTATTTCCATTGGGGTCCTTAATCTTGTCTCCCAGGATGCAACCCACACCAGTCGACTAACACCCAGGTGAACAGGGAAAAATGCCTGGAACTAGTGCTCATATTGGTGAATTTAAAGCCAGCGAAGGTTGGTTCGAGAGATTTAAGAATCGTAGTGGCATACACAGTGTGATAAGGCCTGTTCTGGAAGAAAATGCCAAACAGGACCTACAGTACTCAGGAGGAAAAGGCACTCCCAGGACACAGTGTCTCATCAGTCATTGCTGCATCTTCAATAAAGGTAAGTGTCATTTATTCTTCATTTAGTAGAGTAGTACATGCACAATATATATTGTGCATGTACTACTCTACTATTGTGCACGTATCCTTCTCTTTGTGTGTAGGAAAATGTATATTTCATGTGGTAAAATTTTTTTTTTCATACTTTTGGGTGTCTTGCACGGATTAATTTGATTTCCATTATTTCTTATGGGGAAAATTCATTCGCATACCGATCATTTCGCATAACAATGAGCCCTCTTGCACGGATTAAAGTCGCTATGCAGGGGTCCACTGTTGTTGTATACACGGGAAGTAAAACATTGAAAGATACCGAGATGTTATTTGGTATCTCAGGTGATGTGGTGAGAAGCATGATGGCACCTTATCTTGGTAAGGGGCATACATTATAGTATACTGATAACTGGTACACAAGCCCTTTACTCAGTGGTTTCTTGCGAGTGAACAAGACAGATGTGTGTGGCACAGTGCGTTCTAATCGTAAACATATGCCCAGGCTCAACGCAGGTGCTCGTGGTGATGACTTGCAGGTGTTTGCTGCCAATGACATCATGGCATTACGGTGGCATGACAAACGAGATGTCACATTGTTTACAACCATTCACCGTAACGAAATGCAAGGCAGTGGCAAAGTTGATCGAGTGACTAATGAACGTATTCGAAAGCCAGTGACAGTGATTGATTATACATAAAACATGCGCATGGTTGACAAATGTGACATGCAGATTGGTTTTGTTGATTGTGTTCGTAAAAGTTACATGTGGTACATGAAACTTTTCTTCCATCTCATGGACATTTCAATGCTCAATGCATATAATATGTACCAAATGAAGACTGGCAACAGACCACCGTATGGTGAATTTTGTTTGTCTGTTGTCAGACAACTCATAATGAAGTACCAGGTAACAACACCTGCTATACAACAAGGTCCTTGAATTCCTGAGAATATACCCAAGTGTTTGAGGAGGGAAGGTGATCATTTCATAATACAGCTTCCTTCAACTCAGAAGAAATTTGCTCAGAAGAGATGTGTTGTCTGTGCACAAACAAAACGACGGCAACAAAGACGCAAAGACACTCGGTTTATGTGTGAGGAATGTAAGGTACCTCTGTGCATGGTGCCTTGTTTCAAGGACTTCCACAAGCTCCAGCAGTTCTAAAACCATGTCCAGTGATTGTAAATATGTAAATACAGTGGACCCCTGGTTTACGATCAGCTCCCAATGCGACCAATTATGTAAGTGTATTTATGTAAGTGCGTTTGTACATGTATGTTTGGGGGTCTGAAATGGATTAATCTAATTCACAATATTCCTTATGGGAACAAATTCGTTCAGTAATGGCACCTGAACATACTTCTGGAATGAAATAATATCGTAAACCGGGGGTCCACTGTATATGATAGAACATTAGTATTATACAAGATTTGTGCATGTTTATTGTAATAAACAAAAGTGGTAAACAATAATATGATAATAACTTTAGTGCGGTTATTGTGTTCAATACAGTGAGTTTATATATATACATTATATACAGTATTGGTCTCTCAGGCCCCAAATATTAGTAGGAAAAGAAAAAAAATAGAAAAGAAAAGAAAAAGCTACAAAAAACATTAAATAAAGTAATGCGCGTATGTGGAAATCGTCGATGTTGCTGCCACCAGGTCATTTTGGGTCAACTTCTCGGCACTGTATCTCAGCAAGTACTGATCAGAATATTTTTTTTTTGTCTTATTACCTTCACAAAAATATACTCTTTAATTCTGTAAGAATAAATAATTTTTTTTTTTTTTTTTTTTCAAAATTTCTTGGACACTGGAGCACCACTTCAGATTTTGGCCTTGGACCCTGAAGGGATTAAAGACAGGTGTAGGTGAGGTATCCAGTCACTGAAGTCAAGTAAAGTTAGGTAAGGTCTTGGGCAAGGGGTCAGGTCCTGGTAATCTGTTTCCTGTGCTGTTCCAAAATTGCTTCTGTGATAGGTTTTTGTCTACAATGTACATTGTTCTGTGTGGTATTTGTGATGTGATGGCTGCAGATTCTAGGCATCATTCAACTTGGCATACACAGCTGGCTCTCTAGACATGTGGCCCCACGGGTGTTGTAAACATTTCATACAATACTGTACTATACTATACAATTGTGTAATTGTCAAGCACACAACCTGTCAGATGTTTAACAGTCTGTATAACAGTATTCAATACAGCATTTTCCTCTTCAGAGAATGTTGCAAGATTTGAGAAAGTTCTCTTCAGAGTGAATAATTATCTACCAATATAGTCTCTTGACTTAGTGTTCTAATCCCCTCAGAGTGCTGAGGAGGGGTTGTTGAGGTGGTTTGGCCATTTAGAAAGGCTGAAGCAGAGTAAGATGACCAAGAAAGTGTATAAATTGGGGTGGAAGAAAGAATAGGGGTCATTCCTGGAAGGGTTGGAAGGAGAGAGGTATGGAGGCTGTGAGCATCCAGCAGGCTTAAGTCAGCATGCTAAATCAGGGTAAATGGAGATAAGTTGTCTTTATGGCTTGAAGTGCTGTTGGAGTATAAGGTATTTAGGAAAACTGGTTGGCCCAACTTGAATCATGGAGGTGGAAAATGCATTGCCTGCAGTCTGAAGTCGATGTGGGGATGTTGCCACTCAGACGGTCATCTAAACTGTGATGTCTGCACACTTCTGGCAAGACAGTTACTGAAGGAGTGATGGTGAATCTGTTTTGTTTTGAGGTACTCTACCTCAGTGGGAAATTGCGATGTGTTAAAAGAGTTTTACTAATGAAAGCAAGTTTTTTAAAGTTTTCCCGATTGTTTAATCTGTTTATGTCTTCACTTATGTAGTGTTGCACATATAATTAATTGAGAGCTAATTAAATTTAACCAAATGCCTTTAAGAAACTTTATTTGTTGTTGTATTTAGTTAATTAGAAACATGCAAATATACTGAATTATATTTGTATAATAATTGCATCATAACAGTAATCAAATTAACTGTAAACATAATCACTGTGACTTCTATGTATGCTTCTTAGAAATAAAGATTCTGATTCTGATTCTGAATAGATGTATATGGCACTGTATGATATTTCATACTTTCTCCACAGTATTATGGAATACGTATCTCACTGAAAACTGCATATCTTAATTTTTTTCAGGAACGATTACCATTTGCTGTAGTTGGAAGTACTACTTGGCATGAAATCCATGGAAAGAAGTTGCTGGGTCGCCGCTCCAACTGGGGTCTTGTTGAGGTTGAAAATAAAAGCCACAATGATTTTGCATATATGAGAGACATGCTGATCAGGTAAGTCCAAGTTTATTATACCAATGATATGCTTATAGCTGAATTCATCTATTTTACTTTATGAATAGTACAGTGGACCCCCGGTTAACGATATTTTTTCACTCCAGAAGTATGTTCAGGTGCCAGTACTGACCGAATTTGTTCCCATAAGGAATATTGTGAAGTAGATTAGTCCATTTCAAACCCCCAAACATACATGTACAAACGCACTTACATAAATACACTTACATAACTGGTCGCATTCGGAGGTGATCGTTATGCGGGGGTCCACTGTATATAGAATTAGATTTTTATGTAATGGACATATGCTTATCAGAAGAGTTAAAGTTATTGTGTACAGAACAGTTTCATTATGTGAAGCACGACTACTGTTATTCAGATGATAAAGTGCTAGTAGGCAACATAAATACAGTGAAACCTCAAATATCGAACTTAATCCATTCCAGGAGCTAGTTTTAAATTCGAAAAGTCTGAAAATTGAAGCAATATTTCCCATAAGAAATAATGGAAATACAATTAATCCGTTCCAGAAATCCAAAAATATTCACAAAAAAATACATTTTATAGAGATTAATTACAGTTTTACATACACACAACAAATACTATAGTGTTCAATTATGTATATAAATATAAAATAACATTTTTACTTACCTTTATTGAAGATTGGTGATGGCATCTGGAAGATAGGAAGGAGGAGAGAGCGAGTTGGGGTTAGTGTTTGGAAGGGGAATCCCCCTCCATGAGGCCTTCAGGTAAAGCCCTCTCTGGGGTTACTTCCCTTTTATGGCTTTTAATGTCACTAGGACCAGCTTGAGAGTCACTGGACTCCTGTCTCACAAAATAACTGTCCACAGTCCTCTGTTTCTGATGCCTCTAACATTTCCCTAAAATGGGACATGGTTCTGTCACTGAACTTGTTGCAAAGATGGCTTGTTTCAGCTTGTTCAGGGTGGTACTTCTCCACAAACATTTGGACATCATTCCACTTGGCACAAATCTCCTTAACCTTTGAAGAAGGCACCTCATCCACGCCCTCTTCCTCCTCCTCTGAAGCAAGGTCCTCAGCTGTGGTCTGATAATGAAGCTCTTGCAGCTCTTCAGTGGTTAGCTCTTCCCTGTGGTCCTCCACCAACTCTTCCACATCCTCACCACTCACCTCCAGCCCCAGGGTGTTCCCCAATGCCACAATAAAGTCCACAACAGGCAGAGGGTCAGGGACAGGGTCAGGGTCAGCCTCAAACCCTTCAAAATCTCTCTTTTGGGCACAATCTGGCCACAATTGTCTCCAAGCAGAGTTCAAAGTCCTGAAAGTCACTCCCTCCCAAGCCATCCCTATAAGGCTTATGGAGCTTTAGATATTGAAGTGATTCCTCCAGAGCTCTCTTAGGGTCAACTTAGTGTCTGTGGTCACTTCAAAGCACTTTTCAAACACTGCTTTTGTGTAGAGTTTTTTGAAGTTAGAAATGACCTGCTGGTCCATGGGCTGGAGGAGAGGAGTGGTGTTAGGAGTCAAGAACTTCACTTTTATAAAACTGAAGTCCCTAGACAAGAGGTCTAATAAGTTTGGAGGATGAGCAGGAGTATTGTCCATTAACAGGAGGCACTTGAGTGGCAATTTCTTTTCCAGGAGGTATTTTTTTCACACTGGGGCCAAACACTTCATGGACCCACTCTTTGAAAATTTGTTTTGTAACCCATGCCTTATGATTAGCTTTCCACAAGACACACAACTTGTTCTTAAAGACATTGCTTTTCTTAAACACTCTGGGATTTTCTGAATGATAAAATAAAGGGCTTCACTTTAAAATCACCATGCTTAGCACAGAACAAAAAAAAGCTGTTTTCATAGACTTGTGTCCTAGCAGTGCCTTTTCCCTTGTGTGATGTAGGTCCCTTTGGCTTTTTTCCAAAACAAGCCTGCCCGTCACAATTAAAACATTTTTTGGGGTTTGAATTTTTCAGTGTCTATGCCCCCTTAAACTTTTTTAAAACTTTCAGCTGCGCGTTTGTCTGAATGGCTGCCTCACCATGTCTTAAAAATTGTGTATGCCACTATGCTTCTTAAATCTGTAAAACCCGCCTTGTGGCCCTTTAAAATTCACTATGGGACGGGTTTTCCAGGAGTTTTCTGACCAGATCGGCATGCAACTTCCTTGCCTTTTCGCAAAAAAATGTTCTGAAAACATTTTCACCTGCCATCTTTTTTCCCTTGATCCACACCACAACAACTTCTCAACCCTTCAACCATTTGGGGTTTTTTTTTTGGTTAGCATATTAAAAACCTTTCGCAACATCACTTCCCTTTGATTTGTTCTTTCTTTCTAGGATGAACCAATGGTCGACTTGTTTTTCCCCAAACATCCTGGCAAGCTCGCAAGTCTCGACCACTCTCTATTCTGTTTTTTTCCCTTCTTCACATTATGGGTTTTTCTCACTTTCTTTCCCACAGGGGTCCCACTAGCAAGTTTTTTGGGGCCCCATGGTAGCTTATTTCAGCCCCACAAGCACTGAACAAAAATGAAAAAATCGTAAAATGTTTGAATGAGAGCACGGGTTATGTTCACCAAGCAACAAAGCCGACGGCTCACAACCTGTGGGGACGCGGACAGGCAAGCTGGCGCGTTCATACCTCCCGTATAAAGTAGACTTAAAGCCTTAAACTCCACTCTCGGGAGGGGCGTAGAATGAGGGGAGATGTCATTGAAGTGTAAAAGGGTGACGGGCATAAAAAAGGGGAGACATTAAAAAGACTGAGGGGGTGAAAAAAAGGTTAGAACCGGGAATAAGGTTTTTAAGGTTGGAAAAATTTTAGATTTAAAAAGGACATAGGTAATAGGGTTTTTCTAACAGAGTTGTAGATGCGTGGAACAGCCTTCCCAGTGGGGTGATGAGGCTAGGCCCTTGGGGTGTTTTTTAAGAAAGACTGGACAAAATATGAGTGGGAGGGGCGGGGTTTTTGTTTGGTGTAAAGGGGGTACGGAGTTATTTCTTGATACTTTAGTAGATGTGTTTTGTAGGACCTCCCTCGTAGGGGCCCCGGGGCCCTTCTGCGTTTTCCCACATTTTATGTTCTTATGTTCAATAAAGGGACAAAGGGGGGTTCAAAAAAAAGGGTTCTATTTTTAAAAACTCGATAAGTGAACATTCGAAATTTGGGGTTTTCCACTGTACTGTATTAATTGCAATTTTGTATTTAGGATGGATGGGAAAAAATTTTTTTGTATTTGTAATTTTTTTGTGATTTTTTTTTTTTTTTTTTTAACAATCAGCCACTCCCCCCAAGGAAGGTGCCCCAAAAAGAAAGAAAACCCCCAAAAAGAAAATACTTTCTCTCATTCAACACTTTCACTTCTTTCTACATAATCTTTTTGCGGGACCCAGTACAACAGTTTAAAAGATATTAAAGATATATAACATATCCCTAAAAACTGCCAATACCCAAAACCCCCTCTTTTAAAGGCAGGCATTGTACTGATCCTTTTCCAGTACTCAAGTTGGGCTATGTAAAAAAAACCCGGTTTTTCCCCTGAACCCCTTCGCAAATATTCCCTGCTCACCCCCAACAGCTCATCAGGCCCCCAAAAACCATTCATCTCCATTCATCCTATCTAACCGCTCACAATGCTTGCTGAAGTCCAAGTCCCCCACCCCCAAAAACCTCCTTTACTCCCTCTTCCCAAAATTTTTGAGAGCAACCCCCCCCTGCCTTCCTTTCCTAAGATTTTTACACTCTCCATGTCTAAATCTGTAGAGGGAGGAAGGGGGGTAGGAGTCGTCCTTGAAAAGGCTGGAGGGAGGGGTAAGGAGGTTTTTTGGGCGGGGCTTTGGGCTTCCCCAAAAGGGGGCGGGGTATTAGATAGGAGTGAATGGGGACAAATGGTTTTGGGGACCTTTCGAGGTTGGGGTGTGAGCGGGTAATATTTTTGTGAAGGGTTCGGGAAAAAGGTTAATTTTTTTGAATGTTTTTTTCATAATTTTCTCGTCTTTGTCAATAACCAGAGGGTAGGCAGTATCCACAAGGGTTTCCAAAATTTTGTACTTCAAACTTATGTAAACAATTTAAGAAATTTAAATAAAATGGTTAGATGATAAGTATCAGTATGAAGGAATGGCAGATGGTATATTACAATAGACCGAATAATACAGCACCTATAATGAAGTACAAAAGATAGGTACTTCATACATTTATTTACAGGTGTAGGGAGTAGGTACAAGACGCAAAGGCACATTCAGGTCCAAAAAAATCTACAATACAGTATTTGTATAAAAAAAAAATATGAGTTTAGTTACACATGAAATTTGGTGTACCAATCTTGTAAGAGATTTTTTAAAATATCAAATACAATAGCCTAATTAAGCTGTGTGCTAAATTTTGTGGTATTTATACTATTTTGCTTTTTCCCAAATTTTTAGATAAATCAAATCAAATTTTTTTCTTATAGTAGGGTTTGGTAGACAGCAACCACCCAGGGAAATACTACCGTCCTGCCCGTGACGTGAAACAAAAACTGTAACTGTTTTGCATGATGGGAGGTTGCTGGTTTCTTTTTCTTTTTTGTCTCATAAACACGCTAGATAAAAGGGATTCTTGCTACTCCTACTTAATTTTGGGCACACTTACAGACACACACATGATATATATATATACATACATTAGGTTTTTCTCCTTTTTTTAAATAGCTTTTTTTTTTTATTTTTTCTATTGCCATGGGGAAGTGGAAAAAAAACTTTCCCCCCGTAAGCCTGGGGTTTGTATGAGGGGCTAAAATCCGGGGGGCAATGGGGTAGTAACCCTTTCCCGTATAATTTACTAAAAAAAAGAAGAAGAAAAACTTTATAAAACTGGGATGCTTTTAAAATTGGTGGATGTAGTGCGGATGACAAGAAAAAAGATGATTGTGATGTTATGAATGAAAAAAGTTGGATGTCCCGGTCTAAGCGAAACAAAGATGAAGGGGGTAGGAGAGTTTCGTGGGGGGAAATAAAGGGTTAAAACTGGAGTATCTGAGAGAGTTAGAGCAAAGGAAGGGTAGCAGTAAAAATTTAAAAGATCAGTTATGGGGAAAGGGGAAAAGGAATATGAATGTGTAAATTCAAAAATTTTTTTTTGGGGTTTAAAAATAAAGGGTTGGATGGGAAGTGGGTTTTTTAAAAAAGCGGTATGCACCTGGGGAAGAGAGGGGAAAGCAGAGGAGGAGAGAGATTTTGGGAGAGTTTAAATAATGTATAGGAGCCTTTTAACCCAAAGGGGAAAAGTAATTGTGGTAGGGGACCTGAATGCTAAAGTAGGAGAAACTTTTTGAGAGGGGGTGGTAGGTAAGTTTGGAGTGCCAGGTGTAAATGATAATGGGAGCCCTTTGATTGAACTTTGTATAGAAAGGGGTTTAGTTATAGGTAATACATATTTTAAGAAAAAGAGGATAAATAAGTATACAAGATATGATGTAGGGCGAAATGACAGTAGTTTGTTGGATTATGTATTGGTAGATAAAAGACTGTTGAGTAGACTTCAGGATGTACATGTTTATAGAGGGGCCACAGATATATCAGATCACTTTCTAGTTGTAGCTACACTGAGAGTAAAAGGTAGATGGGATACAAGGAGAATAGAAGCATCAGGGAAGAGAGAGGTGAAGGTTTATAAACTAAAAGAGGAGGCAGTTAGGGTAAGATATAAACAGCTATTGGAGGATAGATGGGCTAATGAGAGCATAGGCAATGGGGTCGAAGAGGTATGGGATAGGATTAAAAATGTAGTGTTAGAGTGTTCAGCAGAAGTTTGTGGTTACAGGAAAGTGGGTGCAGGAGGGAAGAGGAGCGATTGGTGGAATGATGATGTAAAGAGAGTAGTAAGGGAGAAAAAGTTAGCATATGAGAAGTTTTTACAAAGCAGAAGTGATGCAAGGAGGGAAGAGTATATGGAGAAAAAGAGAGAGGTTAAGAGAGTGGTGAAGCAATGTAAAAAGAGAGCAAATGAGAGAGTGGGTGAGATTTTTTATCAACAAATTTTTTTTGAAAATAAAAAAAAGTTTTGGAGTGAGATTAACAAGTTTAAGAAAGCCTAGAGAACAAATGGATTTGTCAGTTAAAAATAGGAGAGGAGAGTTATTAAATGGAGAGTTAGAGGTATTGGGAAGATGGGGGGATATTTTGAGGAATTGTTAAATGTTGATAAAGGGATAGGGAAGCTGTGTTTTCGTGTATAGGGCAAGGAGGAATAACATCTTGTAGGAGTGAGGAAGAGCCAGTTGTGAGTGTGGGGAGTTCGTGAGGCAGTAGGTAAAATGAAAGGGGTAAGGCAGCCGGGATTGATGGGATAAAGATAAAATGTTAAAGCAGGTGGGGATTTAGTTTTGGAGTGGTTGGTGCAATTTTTTAAATAAATGTATGGAAGAGGGTAAGGTACCTAGGGATTGGCAGAGAGCATGCATAGTTCCTTTGTATAAAGGCAAAGGGGATAAAAGAGAGTGCAAAAATTATAGGGGGATAAGTCTGTTGAGTGTACCTGGTAAAGTGTAGGGAAAGGGGTTATAATTGAAAAATTAAGAGTAAGACGGAGAATAGGATAGCAGATGAACAAGGAGGCTTTAGGAAAGGTAGGGGGTGTGTGGACCAGGTTGTTTACAGTGAAACATATAAGTGAACAGTATTTAGATAAGGCTAAAGGAGGTCTTTTTTGGCTTTTATGGATTTGGGAAAAAGGCGTATGACAGGGTGGATAGGGGGGCAATGTGGCAGATGTTGCAAGTGTATGGTGTAGGAGGTAGGTTACGGGAAAGCAGTGAAGAGTTTTACGAGGATAGTGAGGCTCAAGTTAGAGTATGTAGGAAAGAGGGGGAAATTTTTTCAGTAAAAGTAGGCCTTAGACAAGGATGTGTGATGTCACCGTGGTTGTTTTAAAATATTTATAGATTTGGGGGTTGTAAAAGAAGTAAATGCGAGGGTCTTGGCAAGAGGCGTGGAGTTAAAAGATAAAGAATCACACACAAAGTGGGAGTTGTCAAGTGCTCTTTGCTGATGACACTGTGCTCTTGGGAGATTTTGAAGAGAAGTTGCAGAGATTGGTGGATGAATTTGGTAGGGTGTGCAGGAGAAGAAAATTAAAGGTGAATACAGGAAAGGTAAGGTTATGAGGATAACAAAAAAATTAGGTGATGAAAGATTGAATATCAGATTGGAGGGGGGAGAGTATGGGGGAGGTGAACGTATTCAGATATTTGGGAGTGGACGTGTCAGCGGGTGGGTCTATGAAAGATGAGGTGAATCATAGAATTGATGAGGGAAAAAGAGTGAGTGGTGCACTTAGGAGTTGTGGAGACAAAGAACTTTGTCCTTGGAGGCAAAGAGGGGAATGTATGAGGTATAGTTTTACCAACGCTCTTATATGGGTGTGAAGCGTGGGTGATGAATGTTGCAGCGAGGAGAAGGCTGGAGGCAGTGGAGATGTCATGTCTGAGAGCAATGTGTGGTGTGAATATAATGCAGAGAATTCGTAGTTTGGAAGTTAGGAGGAGGTGCGGGATTACCAAAACTGTTGTCCAGAGGGCTTTAGGAAGGGTTGTTGAGGTGGTTCGGACATGTAGAGAGAATGGAGCGAAACAGGATGACTTCAAGAGGGGTATCAGTCTGTAGTGGAAGGAAGGCGGGTAGGGGTCGGCCCAGGAAGGTTGGAGGGAGGGGTAAAGGAGGGTTTTTTGTGCGAGGGGCTTGGACTTCCAGCAGGCATGCATGAGCGTGTTTGATAGGAGTGAATGGAGACAAATGGTTTTTTAATACTTGACGTGCTGTTTGGAGTGTGAGCAAAGTAACATTTATGAAGGGATCCAGGGAAAAACCCGGGAGGCCGGACTTGAGTCCTGGAGATGGGAAGTACAGTGCCTGCACTCTGAAGGAGGGGTGTTAAAGTTGCTTTTAAAAACTGTAGTGTAAAGCACCCCTCTTTTAAAGTGCAGGCATTGTACATGCATCCCATTTCCAGTACTCAAGTTCGGCTATGTAAAAATAACCGGTTTCCCTGAATCCCTTCACTAAATATTACCCTGCTCACACTCCAACAGCTCATCAGGTCCCAAAAACCATTCATCTCCATTCACTCCTATCTAACACGCTCACACATGCTTGCTGGAAGTCCAAGTCCCTCACCCACAAAACCTCCTTTACTCCCTCTCTCCAACATTTTTGAGAGCAACCCCTACCCTGCCTTCCTTCTCCTACAGATTTATACACTCTCCATGTCTAAATCTGTAGAGGGAGGAAGGCGGGGTAGGAGTCGTCCTTGAAAAGGCTGGAGGGAGGGGGTAAAGGAGGTTTTGTGGGCGAGGGACTTGGACTTCCAGCAAGCGTGCGCTAGTGTATTAGATAGGAGTGAATGGAGACAAATGGTTTTTGGGACCTGACGAGCTGTTGGAGTGTGAGCAGGGTAATATTTAGTGAAGGGATTCAGGGAAACAGGTTATTTTTGTGAATGTTTTTTTTCATAATTTTCTCGTCTTTGTCAATAACCAGAGGGTATGGCAGTATTCCACAAGGCTTTCCAAATTATGTATTTCAAACTTATGTAAGCAATTTAAGAGCAATTTAAGTATAAATGGTTAGATGATAAGTATCAGTAGTGAAGGAATGGCTAAGATGGTATATTACAATAGACCGAATAATACAGCACCATATTATGAAGTACAAATGATAGGTACTTCATACATTTATTATACATGGTGTAGGCAGTAGGTACAAGACTGCAAAGGCACATAACAGGTCCAGAAATAATCTACAATACAGTATTTGTATAAAATAAAAGTAATGAGTTTAGTTACACAGTGAATTCGGTGTACCAATCTTGTAAGAGATATTTCTTAAAATATCAAATACAATAGCCATAATTAAGCTGTGTGCTAAATTTAGTGGTATCTCATACTATTTTGCTTATTCCAATTCTTAGATCAAATCAAATCAAAGTTTATTCTCTATAAGGATTACAATGCGGGGTTTACAGATTTTGGTTTTTGTGTGGTTTACATGTAATAAAATACTAATTACAGAGGGGGCCACTAAAACACCTAGCATGGCTAGGCATTTCGGGCAAACTTAGATTAATTCTTAATCCTAAATTATTACAAATTGTGGAGTAAGTTGACTAAATACTAAGTGACTAAATACTAGTTTGTGAGTTTAGCAATGTGAATGCTTTTGTTATGGCACAATACATAGTTTCGTTACTGGGGTATCACAGGCAAACTTGCTATGATCTTCTAAACACTTATACACAAAAAAAGGATACCTAGTTTCAGAAGTGTGGATTTAATTAGTGCTTTTTATGAACAGAATACTATCGTATATGCAAATGAAAACCATCCTTATTCTTGTTGACACATACATCTGTTTTCAGGACGCACATGCAAGACTTAATCGGCTCTACAGCAGAGCGACATTATGAGAACTTCCGAAGAGCCAGATTGTCTACCAAAACTACTTCCAAAGTCAACATAGTCAACGGCCAAGACACAGATCACATGGAAGACCTTAACGAATCAAAAATATAACAACTTGTTTTGCATTTAGTACTTTAAATTAAACTGTGACATTACTTTTAAACATATGCATTCAAAAAAGACATGAAACTGTACTATACATATATTTTTACATGTATCATTTGTGAACTGTCAGTTTGCTTCAGTTTCCAGTGGATGTGGATTAGTGAGAGATTTCATCATCACAGGTAAAGCATAATTTATCTTTGAAATATTTTACATGTATAGCAAATTAGAATAAAGGGAGGTGCTGACCACTGATGGTGGCTCAGTTGAGGATATGTGGGCGGCCTAAAGGACAATTTTGTTTTGTTTCACCTAAGGCTTTGCTTCATACTTATTTTTTACCTTCTATATTATTTCTCATTGGACATTGTTAGAACTTCACATTATGCTTACCTGAACAAAGGCAAAAACTTTAAAGACTGGCCACAAAACATCAAATAAAAAATCACACTGTTATTTATATAAAGTTAATTGTAAGAGGCATTTTTAAAATATAACTTCTTCTTTGGCTAAACTACTAGTACTACTTTCACAGAAGTGATAATGTCATTAAAATGACAAGTAGAGCAGAAAACTAAGATTCTAATTTTCTTTAGTAGGTTAAGAAAATTCTAAATACATGTATGATTTAACTAAAAATTATACTGTGCTAGTTAATATATTAAAAGTATAGTAGCAAAGAGAGAGAGAGAGAGCATAAATTGGTAAATCAATATACATATAATGTACTGTACTTTCCTATATAATACATTCCTGTACATTTCTTGCTAAGTCCTAAGATCAGTCACACTTATCTGTGTGGAGTAAAATGTATGAACAAATAAAGACAATCAGAAAACAAGAGAAAAATCACGGTTGTAGTGTACATCATTTCTGTAAAGACTAAAAGTGACACTGCAATTTTTTTTTTTTTACAAAAGAAAGAGGGAAAGGAGTAATGAAGTTCAGGAGGACCTAGCAAGACCAACCATGCTCCTCTGTTTCAACCATCTCTCTCCCATCCATTACTATCCATTTGCCATTCATGGTAAATTCTCCACCCACCTCCTTCCCACCTCTTCCCATCCATTTGCCATTCATGGTAAACTCTCCACCCACCTCCTTCCCAATGTCTCTAGTGTAAATTCCCCAACTAACATCTCTAACTTTCAAAAATTTACTCCCACTACTCTGTTTCTTCCTTCTCTCCCCGTCTTCTTTCTCACCCTTCAAGAAAGCCAACCTTTGAACACAAGGACAAGAAAATTGTCATTCAATTATAACTCTCTTTTTAGTCCCTACCTCAACTACTGTTATCAAGCAGAGACCATACCTAAATAAAGATAATACTATATCATTGAACAAAGTTCAATGTAGTATTGACAACCTTTCAAATACGTAACACATGATTGGGCTCGTCCCATTTGTTTTTGTTAACACATCAGCCATTTTACAGGGTGACCTTAAAAAAGAAGCTGCATTGTCATCATCATTCACAATGCAAGAGGCATGCTTATACTAGTTAAAAAACTGCAACATAACACCCCTTCTTCAGAGAGCAGGCACTGTACATCTTATCTCCAGGACTTATGTCCAGCTAACCAGTTTCCCTGAATCCCTTCATAAATGTTACTTTGCTCACACTCCAACAGCCCATCAAGTCATAAAAACCATTTGCCTTCACTTGCTCCTATCTAAGATGCTCACACACGCTTGCTGGAAGTCAAAGCCCCTTGCACACAAAACTTCCTTTGCCCCCTCCCTCCAACCATTCCTAGGATGAACCCTATCTTGCCTTCCTTCCACCACAAATTTATATTTACTCCAAGTCATTCTATTTTGTTCCATCCTCTCTAACTGTCCAAGCCACCTCAACAACCCTTCCTCTGCCTTCTGGATAATACTTTTAGAAACCTCAACCTTCCTTCAAAATCTCCAAGCTATAGATTCTCTGCATTACATTTACACCGCACATTGCCCTCAGATACGACATCTCAACTGCCTCCAGTCTTCTCCTTGTTGCAACATTCCCCACCCATGCTTCACCCAGGGAGGTACTACCATCCTGCTAAATGAGTGTGAAATAGAAACCTGTAATTATTTTACACAATGGTAGGACTGCTGATTTTCTTTTCTTTCTGTCTCATGTACACACAAGAACACAGGTATGTCTTGCTACCTCTACTTACACTTAGGTCACACTACATACATTCTGTACATGTATAAGCATACACACCGATCTGAATTTTCTTCTATTTTCTAAATAGTTCTTGTTCCTATCTATTTCCTGTCATCTCTATGGGGAAGTGGAAAAGAATCTTTCCTCCATAAGCCGTGCATGTCGAAAGAGGCAACCAAAATGCCGAGAGCAATGAGCTAGTAACCCCTTCTCCTGTATAAATTACTTAAAATAAAAAGGTGAGTGGTGCATTGAGGTATATATATGTGGAGGCAAAAAATGTTATCTATAGAGGCAAAGAAGGGAATGTATGAAAGTATAGTAGTACAAACACACTTATTTGGGTGTGAAGCTTGGGTTGTAAATGCTGCAGCGAGGAGGCGGTTGGAGGCAGTGGAGATGTCCTGTCTAAGGGCAATGTGTGGTGTAAGTATTATGCAGAAAATTCGGAGTGTGGAAATTAGGAGAAGGTGTGGAGTTAATAAAAGTATTAGTCAGAGGGCTGAAGAGGGTTTGTTGAGGTGGTTTGGTCATTTAGAGAGAATGGATCAAAGTAGAATGACATGGAGAGCGTATAAATCTGTAGGGGTAGGAAGGCGGGGTTGAGGTCATCCTCGAAAAGGTTGGAGGGAGGGGGTAAAGGAGGTGTTGTGGGCGAGGGGTTTGGACTTCCAGCAAGCGTGCGTGAGCGTGTTAGATAGGAGTGAATGGAGACAAATGGTATTTGGGATCTGACGATCTGTTGGAGTGTGAGCAGAGTAATATTTAGTGAAGGGATTCAGGGAAACCGGTTATTTTATATAACCGGACTTGAGTCGTGGAAATGGGAAGTACAATGCCTGCACTCTAAAGGAGGGGTTTGGGATATTGGCAGTTTGGAGAGATATATTGTGTAATTTTATACGTATATGCTTCTAAACTGTTGTATTCTGGGCACCTCTGCAAAAACAGTGATTATGTGTGAGTGAGGTGAAAGTGTTGAATGATGATGAAAGTATTTTATTTTTGGGGATTTTCTTTCTCTTTGGGTCACCCTGCCTCGGTGGGAGACACCCGACTTGTTGAAAAAAAAAAAAAAAAAAAGGAACACTTTAAAAAACTAGGCTTAATCTCATATGCACATTAAAGATACTGAATAAGTTATACATTTCAAACCCTGACTATTTCAAGGAGATTAATAAAGCACATTCTACAGGCAAAATCTTCAAGCACAATAAACTGCTCTTTGTTTTTGTTTGTTTCAAGTGGCCAACAGGTAAATAATGTGAGACTACGGCTTGGAGTATGAAGTGTTTTTGGAGCCACATGTTAACCAGTGGTTCTGATTCTATTGACTAACTGTTGATACAGGAGTCAGTGAGCATTCAACTCCAGGAACTCTTTAAACATTAGTGTTAATGTGGTAGGAACTGTTCTCTAAAATTTTTATGTATAACATATACTATGCTGTACATATATATAATTTGAGTATGAAGTTAATTTGGTAAAATGCTGCACCTTTTAAAAGTCATTAATGAAAATAACTGTCCAGTCTCAAATATGATAAGTGGCAATCAAATCTCTGAATAGTGAAAAATATATGTAAAAAAGAATGAAAATCTATTTCGCAGCAATATAAGAACAGGGTACACCTTTACAATTCTAGTAATGATCACAAAGTTAACTTTCCATATCAGAAACTCTCAATTACCTTTTTCCAATTATTTCCTCATAATGACCTAATACATTACTGGCAAAACTGTTGGTCTACCTAGTAACCAATAAGCCTTTTTCTACTAAACCACATCTGATGTCTAGTCATCTTTGCTTCATTTCTCTCAACTGTGGATTTTTTTCCACACAGCTGTGCAAGGTTAAAAAAGATTGCCTCATATCATACTGGCAGTGTGCGCTGCTCCACTCTTATTAGAGCTGGCAAGTCATGCTCACTCTTGCCTACAGTACACTAATTTGATAGACCAGTTTTTCACTGGGACTGATGACCTTAATTTTGGCCCTTTTCTAATATGTCTGCTCTCTTCTTTGAAGGTATCTCCTTTAATGTAGAGGTTATCTATGGCTTTTTATCTGCAGTTGATCTCTTGCACCAAATTAATGTGGTGTACTATTGAAACTGCTTTGCCTTTGCTCTTAGTATCCTACTCCATATTCTGCGCTGAATAACGTTCAGGGGTTTAATGTCCTTTCTTAAATAGTACTACTGTATCATTATTATCATAAATTATAGAATTGCAAGTGTTATGAATACACAACACTTTGTATCTGTATGGCTTCTGACTTTATATTCAGCTTTTTGAGTAGTAATTAAGTAATATTATTTTGTTGGCACGAACATGACTTATACAGATATACAAAATGCTCTTATTAGGTGACCAAATGACTCCAGGTCAGTTTAAATATTATGTGAAGAATGTTTTAAGTTGAGTAATATATAAATAGTTACAGATGTATATCTCACAGACTTTACCTTTCTACAAACTTTACTCCTTAAGAGATAATTTCTTATGCATTCTCAGTTAGAAAATGAACCAATGGAGTTATGCAACCTCTTCATTATAACAGCAGAGAGTAGGTGACACATGACTCATGAGTATATCTGCTGTCTTGTCAGGTAAATCTTAAGAATCTTCTCCAAGGCTGGACATACATACACACGTATATATATTAATGTGGTTCATGGGTGACAATGTACAATGCACAAAATTGCTTACTGTTGTGGCAGGACTAAAGATTGTACCAACACCATGCATTTTAGCTAAGTCACACGAGGAAATGTTAGACTACAATTATTAAGAACAAATATGACTATGTGAAATACTTGCCCAAACAATGAAGCAGATGATAATATAAAATCTAGTCATATCATTTAGTGATTAAAGGGACAAGACAGTAATAAGATATTAACAATTGTATTATTCTTGTGACAAGAGTGAGTAGTATATTTCAAACCAAATCAGTGCTGAGTGACCCAAACAGGTTTAGTGCTTTTTTATGAATAATGTACTGCACTGTATAATATTAATGCAAACCAGCTTTTAAAAAAAATATTTGCTCAGGGGAGCTTACATACCACTAGAGGGTAGATTTTTTATTTATAAAAATACTTTTTTGAAGACAATCACTAAGAGCCTCAGTGGTCAGAGGTGAAACTGCGATTAGCAGAGGGAGGATGGAGCGGCCAGCACTCCTCCTGCTGAATGATCCATGTAGTTTTAGCACTTAATTTATTATAAAATTGTAATCCTCTTTAAGAAAAGGGTTTTTAGTAAGTGAGAGTTATCATCTCTTCCAATTAATATTTGAGAATACCTAACAGGAAGAGCAATTTAAATGTTATTCAAACAAAAGTCTGGTTGAAGGCTGAACATCTTCAGTACTTAATAATAACCACATAACACATCTAGATAAAAGCTCAAGTGTTTGTAATATAGAGAGTATAGCAAATGTTGTTAGTGTTAATGTAACTAAGATGTGACACAGGCTCATTATCAATTAAATATATTGTGGTAAACATTAATGGTGGGTTGCCATGAGACTTCTTAAAGAACTTCATAATGTAGGCCTCAGTAACACTAATATCAATGTTTACGTATTTCAACGCACTGTCCTATCATGTTGAATATGAAGTTGTTTTATGATGGTAGTTACTGTATTTCTAATGATCACAGTCATTTATAACTGTTAAATGTTACAAATATTACATGTTAAAATATTTTATTTTGATAATATAATACTGATTATCATCAGTCTATGCAAATAATAGCATTATTATTGTTATAATAAGCATGGTTTCTGTATTAGAAAATTAAAAACAGCTGCTGCATTTGCATTTAGTGTACATTAAAATACTGTACGTCTGTCATACTGACCATAAAAATGTTTTATCACTAGTAGAAATGCAGTATCTGTAAAATAATAATACTGTATGCATCAAATAAACTAGGTGGTTAAGTAGCCTACAGTGAAGAAATTTCTGATATACTGTACTGGCTGGCAAAGCTCTCGCTTCATGCACAGACGGCCTGGGTTCGATTCCCGGCGGGGTCGAAACATTTTGACTTGTTTCCTTATATACCTGTTGTCCAGTTCACCTAGCAGCAAATAGGTACCTGGGTGTTAGTTGACTGGTGTGGGTCGCATCCTGGGGGACAAGATTGAGGACCCAAATGGAAATAAGTTATACAGTCCTCGATGACGTATTGATTTTTTTGGGTTATCCTGGGTAGCTAACCCTTCAGGGTTAAAAATCCAAACAAAATCTTATCTTATCTTACAATCAGATTATGACTTAAACTTGCTGGTCTTAGCACAGTTTCACATTAAATTTAATTATTTATTTTAAATTACAGTATTATTGCTTTAATCTCTAAAGTGTATGATGAGTGCATCTAATCATAATTAGTGTTCAAATAATAGCATTTATATATTTTAAGGAGATTTTCTCTCTATAAAACCAGAGAAAATTGTGTAAGTGATTGTAAAAGAATGTACGTCAAGTCAGATCAACGAGCTGCTGCCAGAAGTGTACGTGGTTACACAGAGATAAGCATTTATACATTAATCCAAATTTCATAATTTTGATAGGTATACATTCTGAACCGGATACCGTATTTGTGATTAGTACAGTACGTATGTACCTCATACTCTCATGAGTACATATACCTGATACTGTACTAGTTAGTGATGATATATGTACCTGAAATTGTACTTGTGATGATACATGTGCCTGATATTGTACTTGTGATGGTACATGTTCTTGTTCTTGATACTGTACTTGTGATGATTTATGTATCTAATATTGTACTTGTGACTGATGCACCTAATACTGAGGGGTGGATATACCTGATAATTGTTAACAATACATATATATACATATACATGTGAAAACAAATATCTGATACTTGTGATGGGTACTTGTGCCTTATTCTTGTGATGGATACATATATTTGATAACTGCAATAGATACATGTACCTCATACAGGTATTAATGATGGATACATATATCAAATAATTTTGGGCACATGTGCTTTATGCAGGTACAGTTAGTTATGGTACATATACAGTTATCTGATAACTGTAATGGGTATATGTGCCTTATACTGTACAAGTACTCTTAGCTATGGTACAAATGTCTGATAACTGTGATGGGTACATAGGCCTACTGATGATTGTAAATGTAAGTTATGCCTGTATGTACTTACCATGACACTTCTGTTTCCATGCGTTAATTAGCTCTTGTAACATTCAAAATTTCATAAATAACATTTCATTCCATTTACTGAGTATTATTTATCATAAAATATGTTTAAATATGAAAAGCAACATTATGTAATAGGAGCAAGTGAGGGCTCCTGCCTGGACTACTCTAATTCATACCAATCTCTATCACAGTATTTTTCTGTAAAAACCTCAGTATGGTCTGGGATGCTCTACTGGGCTCTCTCCCCTCAAGGAAGGTTCCTTGATGTTGGTGAGGGGCTCTTGATTTAGGGAATTGGATCTGTGCTCCAGTTCCCCGAATTAAGCCTGAATGCCTTCCACATCCCCCCCAGGCGCTGTATAATCCTCTGGGTTTAGTGCTTCCCCCTTGATTATAATAATAATAATGCTGGGCTCTCTTTTGTTTCCACTCCAACAATCAATACTTTCATATTCTCTCGAATCTGATATTCAGTCTTTCACTGCCTAGACATTTTTTGCTGCTCCCATCACCTTGCTCTTGTCTATGATTTCTTTCAATTTCCATCTTTTACACACCCTCCCAAACTCCTCCATCAAACTTTGCAACTTATTTAGCAAACAACAACTGTGACAACTCCCACCTTATACTAATTTATTATATTTAAATCCCACATTTCTTCCCAGCACTCTAGCATTCACTTCTTTTACAACCCATCAATAAGGATGTTAACCCTTAAACTGTCCAAACGTAGATCTATGCTTTTTCAACATTTGAAAGTATGTAAAAAAAATGTAGATCTTTTTTTTTTAACATTTGAAAACGTGTAAAAAACTTTGATCTACTTTTTTTTGTATTTGAAAATATGTAAAAAAAATGTAGATCAACTTTTGGAGCACTACACATGTGAACATAGATCTATTTGGACAGTAAGGGTTAAACAACCTGATGACATCCCATATCCTTGTCTAAGGCATTCTCCTACATACCCTTGTATGAGCCTCTCTATCTGAATGCAATGCAAGGGCATTGCTGACTGAGCCAGGGAACACCAAGAAAGATTACAAAGGGATGTGGATAAACTATAGGGTTGTTCTGACAAGTGGCTACTACAGTTTAATCCTGGAAATGGGAAGTACAATGCCTGCACTTTAAAGGAGGGGTTTGGGATACTGGCAGTTTGGAGGGACTTCTAAACTGTCATATCTGAGCACCTCTGCAAAGACAGTGATTATGTATGAGTGAGGTGAAAGTGTTGAATGATAATGAAAGTATTTTCCTTTTGGGGATTTTCTTTCTTTTTGGGTCACCCTGACTTGGTGGGAGATGGCCAATGTGTTGAAAAAAAAAAATGATGAAAATTAAGGAAGGGCAAAGATGACTGGAAATTGGGTACAGGCTCAAGGAACAAAGGCTGCAAACTTCCCTAAACAAAAAGGACCTCTGTGTGAGCCTAGTTCTGAGCAGTCACGTAAGGTGCACATCACCTGAAAAGCTGCCACAGAAAATGTGAGTAACAAATTTAAGGGTGGCTTTCAGGAACCTCAACAAGGAGGCATTCATCACCTTATACATTTGCCAGGCTCATTTTTTAGTGTGCAACACAGCGTGGAACCCACATCTGATAAAGCATGTAAAGAAGCTGGAAAAATGCAGTGTTGCAACAAAACTACTCCCAGAGTTGAGGGCTAGAAGACAAAGACAGATTTATTTCTTTGCAAAGGTTACAACGTGCAATTACATTTTTGATGTGCTAGGTACAAAGAAAACCACTGTCATACCGGAACAGTTTGGGCAGACTAATCCTAATATACTTAAAGACTACTTACGTCTAGACAGAATAAAAGTGGTTAATTTTTAATAAGATTAAATACTGTATAATTAAGTAATTATCAAGTACATGCATATTTATGCATTATACATACATAATAAAATTAATAATGGCACAAACAAAAGTACAGTCAGTGCTATTTTAAGTATGATTTGATGTTTTAATTGACTACAGGTCATACAGTATTTGGGAGAGTTGCTTCAACTGGTTAGATTTTAGCAGAGAGTTGGTTTGGTTAGTATTGAGAAATGAGACGATTTTTAAGCATAGCTCAAAAATTGTATGATGGCAGGAGACCTTCTGCTGGTTCAGGTAATGACAACAGGTCAGAAGAACCAAAAGTGACATGATTACAACATACGAAATACTAAGAGGACCTGACAATGGACAGGGAGAGTCTGGAGAGTCTCAGGTACATAAGGTCACAGATGGAAGTTAAAAACACAGATGAGTCATAGGGATGTTAGGAAATACTTATTTAGCCTTAGTGTGGTCAGTATATGGAATGACATGGACAGTGAAGTTTAAGATTATTTAGACACAGGTACACACAAGCACAATTATCATATATGGTGAAAATTACCTAAGACAACCCAAAAAACTCAGTGAATTATTTCCACTGTGGTCCTTGTGGCAGAGACAGGATCCATACACAGCTTTAATTAATAGGTATGATAAGAGCTCACACAACCAATGGAGGCAGAGCAAGGAGCTGAGACTCGACCCCTGCAAACACAAATAGGTGAGCACTTCACCTATGAAATTTGTGCCTGGGGTTCTATCTCAGTTGTGCTCCTCAAACCAGTTATCACACACAAGAGAGCTACACCATCATCACAAACTCAAATTTTAGGCAACACATTATGCCCTTATTCAAATTCCTAAACTTAGTTCATACCCATGGTGTGGGCAGCTGTCAAAAGATTACATAGGCACAGAATGGGTCCAGGGACTGTACCTCAACTTTAGAGGCACTTAATGGGCATTGGGACTGTACCTCAACATCACATAGGTGCAATTACAGAGGTACATAAAGGGTTCAGGGACTGTACCTCAACATCAGTCACATAATGGGTCCAGGGACTGTACCTCAACATTAGTCACATAATGGGTTTAGGGATTATACCTCAACATTAGTCACATAATGGGTCCAGGGACTGTACCTCAACATTAATCACATAATGGGTCCAGGGACTGTACCTCAACATTAGTTACATAATGGGTCCTGGGACTGTATCTCAACATTAGAGGCCCTTAATGGGCACTGGGACTGTACCTCAACATTACATAGGCACAATTACAGAGGCATATAAAGGGTCCAGGGACTGTACCTCAACATCACTCACATAATGGGTCCAGGGACTGTACCTCAACATTAGTCACATAATGGGTCCAGGGGCTATACCTCAACACTAGTCACATAATGGGTCCAGGGACTGTACCTCAACATGTCACATAATGGGTCCAGGGACCACAAAATGGGTTTAGGGACCACATAATAGGTCAAGGGACCACATAATAGGTCCAGGGACCACATAATGGGTCTAGGGACCACATAATAGGTCCAGGGACCACATAATAGGTCCAGGGACCAAATAATAGGTCCAGGGACCACATAATGGGTCCAGGGACCACATAATGGGTCCAGGGACCACATAATGGGTCCAGGGACCACATAATGGGTCCAGGGACCACATAATAGGTTCAGGGACTATATAATAGATCCAGGGACCACATAATGGGTCCAGGGACCACATAATGGGTCCAGGGACCACATAATAGGTCCAGGAACCACATAATAGGTCCAGTGACCACATAATAGGTCCAGGGACCATATAATAGGTCCAGGGACCACATAATAGGTCCAGGAACCACATAATAGGTCCAGGGACCACATAATAGGTCCAGGGACCATATAATAGGTCCAGGGACCACATAATAGGTCCAAGGACCATATAATAGGTCCAGGGACCACATAATGGGTCCAGGGACCACATAATGGGTCCAGGGACCACATACTAGGTCCAGGAACCATATAATAGGTCCAGGAACCACATAATAGGTAAAGGGACCACATAATAGGTCCAGGAACCACATAATAGGTCCAGGAACCACATAATAGGTCCAGGGACCACATAATAGGTCCAGGGACCACATAATAGATCCAGGAAGCACGTAATAGGTCCAGGAACCACATAATAGGTCCAGGGACCACATAATAGGTCCAGGGACCACATAATAGGTCCAGGGACCACATAATAGATCCAGGAAGCACATAATAGGTCCAGGAACCACATAATAGGTCCAGGGACCACATAATAGGTCCAGGAACTACATAATAGGTCCAGGGACCACATAATAGGTCCAGGGACCACATAATAGGTCCAGGGACCACATAATAGGTCCAGGGACCACATTTAAAAGGTCCAGGAACTACATAATAGGTCCAGGGACCACATAATAGGTCCAGGGACCACATAATAGGTCCAGGGACCACATAATAGGTCCAGGGACCACATAATAGGTCCAGGGACCACATAATAGGTCCAGGGACCACATAATAGGTCCAGGGACCACATAATAGGTCCAGGGACCACATAATAGGTCCAGGGACCAAAATGTTCTAATAACTAAACAAGTTACAGTAGTAATGGACCATTTACATGTTAATATTTAGTTACAATGTTGACAAGTTATTTATGCAGCTCTTAAACTTACTTAACATTCATCACATCCATACTTACAAATCTCCCTCGTCCTCTTCATCATACTTGCAGTGTCCTATATCAGGAGAGGGACCAGGAGCTATGATTCGACACCTACAACCACATATAGGTGTGCACATGTAGGTTAATACACTACGGACAAAATACTGCACTTCTTGTCCAGGGTTTACGGACCACTAACAATGTATAAAGTCTGATTAATAATGTATTAAGTCTGATTAATAATGTATTAAGTGACAATGTATAAAGTCTGATTAATAATGTATTATGTCTGATTAATAATGTATTAAGTAACAATGTATAAAGTCTGATTAATAATGTATTAAGTAAGAAAGTCAGTTGATTATAAGTTTATTTATGTACAGGTACACATAAATACAGTTATACATATTCTGGTGACTACAATTATCATACATAGTAACATACGTATAAATTACCCACCAGGATAACTAAAAACAAGTCAGACAAAGTCACATCTTTATTAAGTAAGTTTATTCAGGTATACATAGACTTATTACATAGCAGTATATGTGTAGAGAACCTGGGATAACCCAAAAAAGTCAGATAGTGACTTATTTGTAATATATTATTATTATTATTATTATTATTATTATTATTATTATTATTATTATTATTATTATTATTATTATTA